GGGAGAAGCCATGAAATTTTACAGCCTTCAGTCAAGCAATGCTTTAAATAACATTGATCTTAAATGCTGTCTCTCACCCAAATAATTAAGACCAACAAGCAGCAACTATTTTAACATTTTAAGTAGAAACCAAAGGTTTTCTAGGAGTGAAGTGAGAATAAACATGCGCCTCAATAGCAGGAAAGAAACAGTGATCCAAAGAAAATGATTTTTTTCCAGGATTATTTGAAAAAAAACCAAACGAACAGCTTGCAGAAGTTCTGATACACTCTGAGGACATTATTTTCAGCAATATTTTGTCATGCCTCTCACTTCTAGTAGTAATTAAACATGTTGCTCCCATTTATAGTACCATGCTCTTTAACATCACCAGGAGAAAAGACCTGATATATAACCATGTAACATTATTAGAGAAAATTATTCACTGATCACACGGAGATACTGATTAACACCCGTTATCACCCTGCTGGACATCCTTGTTTAGAGGAAGGCAATTTTTATATCACTTAGAAATGAGCACAGAGACTAATCAGGCACACATTTGTTGAAGATAACACAGCCAAATATATAAAGGACACCAGGTCACCCCAAACAAGTGAAGGAATCAGAGGTGAGGTACGGCAGGTAGCGACCAGGGGGCTAACGTTCAAACTTGGCTCTACTAAAGGCACTATTCATTCTCTTCATTTGCTTTTTCAGACATTGCATTAGCTTAGTACGCAAGAAAGGAGCGGAGAGTTTGTTTGGGCACGCTGCAGATGCAAAGGAAACCAGAGCTCTAGCGATAACATTTCTTCCTGAACAAAGGGCACCCTCCCTGCTTCAGCTCCACCCGGCCCTGGGCACTCAGCACCAGCATTCCCAGGGCCAGGAGCTCTGCCAGAGGCCGTTCGGACAATACCGGTTATGGTTACACACCACTAGCTTATTGTGGCATACTCCTATCAATAACAACAGTGTGGAAGCTGCAATAAGGCACACAGGCATCTACGCTTTTCAACGTTTCACAATGTTTTATTGTGTGCTGCAGCAGACACGAAAGGCTGCAGAAAGCCAAACCAGCGACCTTTCACGCAACTATCTTTTTTCAACTGCAAAACCCTCAGATTTTTTCCTTTCTTCATCAGTGGCTTTGCTTTTTAAACCAGCAGTAGGAAAAGCTATGCACTTGTCTAGTCAGAACACATTTAAGTATTTTCCCTAAAGCATCAACATTAAGCTGACACACTGATTTCTCAGTAAATCACTGCTAACCAAAACCCACCACTGTTACTAACAGACACACACATATTTATACAGATACACATATATATACAGAAAGTGTCACTTGTCAGGAAAAAAAAACCTCTTAAGCATTATAAATGGTGTCAGAAAGATGAAGGTGTCTGTTCTCTCTACAAAGTAATCTACAATTTACTACATTTTTTCTTAAACTTGACTATGAAAAATTAGGTTAAACATAACTTGACTAAAGAGATTAATTCCATAATAGTATTCCGTTTACACAAGTATTAAAATACATTGTGAATCCTGTGGATATAAAAGGAACCCTTCAAAGTTATGCTACTTTAACACATGATTTTTTTAAAGCATAGAAAAGTAATGAGACACCTAGAAATGAGATTCTGACACAGCAACAAAAGTAAACTTGCAAACTAGTTTATTACAACTGTATTCCCTCTGCTACACTGTTTATAATTTCAAGAAATATTAAGCTTTACATTATGGCCCACGTTCTGGAATAGCAGTGGGAAGATTTTCTTCTGTCTACTGCTGTTAAAGGATTCACTAACACAGTAGATCTGGATGAGCAAATATATTGTCCTTAATACCTACAGCCTCCTGAGTTATGGCACACAGTGAAACAGATGATTTTTGTAACTCTAATTACAAAACACATTTAAAAAAAATCATCTGAAAGCTCTGAAAGTATGCAATTATATCTGAAATCTGAAGTAAAGGAAATAACTTTAAGGAATGAAATAAGATTGCTATTTCAGAATTTGCAACAACTACTGGACTGAAAACTACTTACAGCATTTAGATTGGTCACGAGGCCTTCATCTTTTCTAAGGGGATAGGGGAGGAAACTTTACAGATATACTAAGCAGAAGTATGGTAATAGGATGAAAACAAATAGCTATGCATCAGTTTAGCCAATATTCCTTTTGTCTACTTAAGCAGCTGATACTTTCCTCTGTCATGACCTCTTGATCTATGTTGTTTCACTAAATATGACTGCTGGAACCTCAGTATAACCAAAAGTTTGAAAAATTAATGATATTACAAGTCTTCCATTATCTGTTTATAAAGCATTTGTTTTAAATAATCAAACCAAAAAGCATTGTGCAGTTTACGAGCATAAAACTGTATTTAATCTAGCCTCTCCCAGAGGTTGTCATAATAAAGCACTACAGAATTACATTCACTAATGAGCAAGTTACATGGAAAAAAGGCACTGTATTTACAGTCATATCCATTTGTCTTTTTTTTTCTTTAATTAAGGAGCATAATTTATATTGCAAAAGCGTCAGTAAAGCTTTTTATGCTTAAGCATCTTACCATCTAGGCAAAGCCAACAAGCACCCTGGATGCTACTTATGCACCTGCAATGCAGATCAAAACGGACAATTCCATCCCCAGGGCTGCCTCAGCTTCTGTGTTTTTATTTACCTTCATTGTCTCACCTTTACACAATTTAATAAGGCAAACTCTTGTCACTCAAGGAAGCATACCACTCTTGTCCGTGGTGGGAAGGGCCCCTCCTTCCTCCCTGCTGTCCCACCCCGTGCCCTGCGTAGGGAAACAGCATCTATGCGGCTGGAACAATCTCCATGTCTGAGGACGCCCTGCACTTCTTTGCTACCACGTCCACAAGCGACAGACACTCTCCTCGATTCAAATGAAGATTACTCCCTACCTACTCCAAAATGTACACAATCCGTCCATCCACGTATGCACCCATCCATCCATCTTCCCTTTGCAGGCCCTGCGTTACCCATGATAACGACACTCTTGTCACTTTCTAAAGTGAAAATGTACCATACAAAAGGAGACTGTGCAGGTGAAGGAGGATGCGATGTAAAGCATCGCCCCAGCGGGTGTGGGTGGGAGCCAGCGGCCCCACCGGAGCCCCCTGAGCCGGTCGGCGGGAGGCTGGGCAGGGCGGGCGGGCGGCTCCCCTCAGCCCGGACACCTTCGCAACCAGAAACGAAACAAACGTCCTTGTCCCCGAGCCCGCAGCACCAGGAAGATCAGGGGTAAAGCGAGCTGCGGGGTCACACCTTTTCTCCACCGCAGCTCTAGCGACCACAAAAAGGTGCCTTTTATGCTCTGAAGGGAGAAAAGGAGGCATTTGGTCCGGCGCCAGCGCACCCCGGGACCGGCAGCCGCAGCCCACCCCACACCCGGCGGTGGCTCCCCGCCGCACCACAGCGGGCGGGCCCGGCCGCGC